GTAGCGATGAGGAGCGTGCGTACTTGTTTAAAATATTGCTGGGTTTTTTGTTGGTTTGCTGTCTCTTTTTACTTCTAGCGTGTGTTGCTTTCCGTTTACGCGCCGTTGAGGGAGTGAGCGCGTTTAAATGCATAAAGTACGAAAGGTACCTTTATTTAAACCTCCTCGAACGTGCGGAGTTAGGCGCTGCCTCGCCGTGGAGGGCAAGTGCGTGTTAGTGCCGGTGCTGAGTGTGCCTGTGGGCTCTCCCGGTGCAGCAGGTCGGCGAGACTTCAGGGTATAAAAGACTAAAATGAGGGGGTTTGTGTACCGCTGGGAATAGCGGGGAGAGTACCTGAGGGGAAAACTGGAGTCAGAGTTTTGTTTTTCTAATTAGGAGGTGTAGCTCTTTCTGCCTTTGTTTGTGAAGTTTGTTTTAGCAGTGTTTCTGGACTGAAATAAAATCCTGTTGGAGGCTTATGATTCTGCTGCTTGTTTCCACTGTGCTGGGGCTATATCTCTTGTGTGTAATATGCACCCACTTCATGGCCTATATGTGTATTTTAATTACTGATCCATTTCAGATAGATGCTTTAAGGGCACCTGTTACTGTTTTTTCATTCATAGATGGTTTGTTTTGTCCTGCAAAATATATGTATACTGTTTCATTTAAAATTCTGCTAGCCTTTTGAAGGTTGCTAACACAGGAATACTTAAAGAAACTTTACAAAACGTAACTGGGTTTTATCTTAGTTTGTTTTTCAACACTTCTTGCAATGTTTTCTACCAGCTGAGCTTATATTCGTCTCTCAGGAGTCATTCCTAGAAAGCAAGCAGAAACCATGTAGCTTCATATGTTTCATTAAGTAGACCTTTAATGGTCCAGGAAGACCAAGTGAGTCTGGGTTTTGTTACTGGTGTTATTTTGAACACAAAATCTTCTACATAAAGTCAATTTAAAATAATTATTTATTGTGAAAACAGCGCTCCGAGTGTAAACTTCCAAGTTCGAGACAACCATTACATTACAAAAGGTGTGAATTGCACCACTTGCTAATTTGATTTAGACTTAAAATTCCTGTGTCATCCCCGATAAACTTAAGAAAGAGAGCAAGATATGTGCTGGGATCTTAGAGTTTGAGCCAGCTATGTTGTGCTTTAGCTTTTAATCGTAACAAATAAGATGAAATTATTGAATCGTAGAGTGATTTGTTGTTGTTGTGTGCCCCACTTATGCTTTACCCACAAAATGGTTAATTAAAAAAAAAAAGTGCTTTTGCCTGAAAATCTTTTGGGTCAACAGTGAGATCACATTAATATATGTATTGTAGAAGTGCTTTCATCTGTCATAGGTGGAATGCTCTATAAATTTGTGGTGCAGTTTCTTTAAGCATTTACCAAGCGTGTAATTCAGGCTTTTTTCCTTTTTGTAGTAAGTACTTACAGCAGTTCACTAAAGAGAGATCTCCTGCTCTCCATCCTTCACTGGGAGTGAAGTTAGAGGGCTTTTTTTTCCTTCCTAGTTGCAAAGCCACATCTACTGCCTTCTGACCATATAATCAAGCTCTTCCTGCTCCTGTGGTTTCGTAAGACTGCCTATAATAACAAGTTTATTGTGCTGTGAGGATGCAGGAAGTCTTACAGATTCTCCCCATAAAAACATTTTTATAGGCACTCACAAAACCTAGTGCTTCCCAAACCCCCCAAAGAAACACCAACTGAAATGCCTGATTTTGTTCCTTGCTTTTCTTGAGCATACGATAAGCAGCTTGATAAACAAGGAAGAAACAAGGTGATTAATTAATTATCCCATTGTTTTATACTTTTATGTGTCTCGACCCTCAGGAGGAGGAGCAGGTGTGTTATCATCCAGCTGGAAAGAGCGACTAAAAAATAGCACGCCTTCAAGCCACTCCGTGTTTTCCCTTCCAATGCAGAATTCATATTGGTGAAATAAGTCTTAGGTGTGCAAAGCTTCCAGACACAGCTTGGGGAGGGGAGGGAAATCCATGCAGATAGGTAGAGCTAGCTATCAAATCCAGCATGTGTGTCAAAACCAAGATTTCTGTTGAAAATTTACATCCTCTTTTTTTTATCTCCCCCACCCTGATTTGGGCAATCCTCTCACTTTTTAGTTGTGTGATTCTTCCACACTCAGGCTTCTATCTTCTTTGGCTTTCATTGCTGCTTTACCTCCTGCCTCTGCAGGTCAATGTTAAGGTCAATTTTAAGACACTGGGTGACTTTGTCTTGGACCAGCAGGTCCCAGCACACAAGAGCATGTTACTTGTACTTTTATTCCCTCTGTTGTTTAATTCTGAGGTAGAATTACTGTTCTTCTTGGGACTTCTCCCCTCTGTGGATGTATGTGAGGAATTTCCCCGTGTGGTTAGCATGACTGCAGTTAAATCTCAGCTGTTGCTTGCAGGTAGACACACAGGTGCTCATAGTGAGACATTTAAATGCAAGTGTGTATTCTTGATGCCTTCACAAACTCTGAAATCTGAGCGTTTTACAGGCTGATACGGTGGTCAAAGGAAACGCAGCCAAGATGATGCATGGAGGTCCTCTGAACCTGTACTGAGTAGTTTAATGCAACACCAAGGTGTGCTTATGGTTTATAGTTTGCATGGCTACTGTGATGACACCCAACAGTCTGTATGATTACTTGAGGACTGATTTCCATATATAGTCATGAAAGTGGTTGTCAGAGTAGTGGCCTGACCTTTGAATGCGTTGCTTTGTTCCCATACACCATAAAAACATGTATTCCAGCATGCTCTGTTTTTATCCGTGCCTGTGCTGCTTAGTCAGCTTGGCTGGAGTGAAGGAGACACGGATTAAAATTGTATCTTGTCCTGAATATTAGTTTGATTTAAAACAAACAAACAAGCAACCCCCCAAAACCAAACAAACGAAAACCACAAAACAAAAAACCAAACAAAACCCACAAAACAAACAAGAAACAAACAAAAACCCTCAACCAAACAGAAAAAAAGCATTTAAACAGTAAATGGTGGTAAGAAACAGAGGAAAAGCAGCAACCTAAAAGCAGAATATGTACTACTAATCAAAAACGAACAGGTAAAAGAAGAAAAAAGTGAGGAAATAAAATACAAAACATTAAAATCTGCTTTTCTCATGTCTTTTATTTCTGTATGCAATCTAGACGGGTCCTACTCCTGCAAGCATTAACCCACAGTTTTTTATATTAATAAACCTGGTTACATACTCAAGACTACTGATGATGTAAGATTAAATGTTTGAGTAATTTGGAGAGTGAGCATGTTAGGTTATCCATTCTTTTGGAACCTGGTGTTATTATTTATGTAGCAGGAAAGACAATTTTTTGCTTATCTACAACTGCTACTATTAAAAATAGTTGCCTGTATGTATCTGTTTTGTTACTTGTTCCTGGCTTTCTAGTATTTCTAGAAAAGTATTGTTCTTGAGGCTAGCAGCCGTGGGAGAAACTTGCAGAAATATTTACTGTCAGCATCAATGTTATAACATCGAGATTTTTTTAAGCATCGCTGTTGCTACACCTTTAAAAAGGAACTGCAAAATGAAGCAGTAAGGCTGACTTCTCTATTCTCCAGTGTATTGTGTTTGTGAGAAAATTACTAATTACATGATTTTGGCTTTGATTCAGCTGGTCTCATACAGGAAATACTAAATGTCAGTTGTGACCTTTTTATATGCCTTATTGTTTGTTTTGGTACTTCTAAAATAAATTACTTGATTAATTTCTGTATTTTCTATGTGGGGATATGTGCTTAGTTACTACTACTACATACAGGTGTCCGAAGAGAATGGAGGTGGTACATCACAATAGCTCATCAGTGAGGCTGGTATTGCTAAGCTTCAGAAATAAATTATGGATAAAGCAGATTGTGTGCTTCCACATGCGTGCTTTTGGTGGGGAAAAAAGATTATCAACCCACTTTCAGGGCTCTCTTGCACGTGTTTCCTTTATAATAATAATAGTCACTAGCAGAAAGAATTAATGCTTGACACATTATTACTGGGTTTAATTCACTTAGTGTGTTCATCCTTTCATCTTGTTAATAATCGTTGGTAGAATGGGCT